TTTTTGCTGATCCTCTGACTAAACAGGATGTCCTTCTCTAGGGATTGGATGGGTTCCAGGGAAGTGAGCTGAAGCCTTGCTATCCTGTCTTCTAAGGAGCGTTCTGTTTGCATTTCTGCTGAGAGAGTTGTGTTTTCTCTTGGCAGTCCACTGTATTCACTATTGTTTGATAACCCCACAGTTTTAAAGCATCAGTCCTCTCCTCCCGCCTTTCTTTTTCACTATCCAGCTCTCACAGGTGCATGAGGCGATTTCAAAGACCATGGCGGGCTTGAGTGAGACATACCTGTTATCAAAGTGACATCTTTGCTTTTTAAAATTTTTGAAGAAGCTTTTGTGGCACACTGTGTCAGTGTAATTATGTCTTTTGTTTTCTGAGCTACTGCTTCCTTGGAAATTGATTTTTGATCCAAGTAGGATGAATTCATTGACAGTTTCAATTTCTTCATCGACCACTATTGTTTTAGTCCATTGTGCAGGGTAGGGCAGTTTTTCATTTGATGGAGTTTTCATTTGATGGACCTAGGTTCTTACCCTGAGATGTGGAGTTGCTTGGTGTGGAGTGTACAGATGTTTGTTTAATTGATGCTGGCAGTGGTTTCCCAAAGTACTTGTATCCGTTGTTACAGCTATTAGGAATGTAGTTTTACATCTTTCTTTGTACTTGGTAATCATGATAGCTTAGCTACTTTGATGCAGTATTTCCTTATGGTTCTAATAAGCCTTTTACTAGTGAGTAATGATGTTCAAGATGGAACTATCTGGTCTCCTAAGACTTCCATTCCTGGAAACCCTTACATAGGGCCCATAGGAATCCGTATTGACTCGATAGCAGTGAGGTTTTTTTGGTATCATTTTTTAACTGGTATGTGGAATTTCTTGTCAATTCTGCATACAAGTTCTTCACAGGGCATATTTTCTCTGAAGTATATCTATAGGTGTGTGTTTCAAGGAGTCTTGGTGGCATAGCGAGTTACAAGTTGGGCTTCTAATGGCTATGCCAGCAGTTTGAACCGCTGTAAGGGAGAAAGATGAGGCTTTCTGCTTCCATAGAGATTTACGGTCTCGGCAACCCACTGGGGCAGTTCTGCCCTGTTTTATAGGGTCACTTTGAATCTGAATTGACTCAGTGGTAGTGAGCACAAAGATTTACAGTCTCAGAAACCCACAGGGACAGTTCTGTTCTGTCCTGTAGGGTAGCGATGGGTTGGAAACTCATTGGCAGTGAATTTTTGTTTGGTTTTATCTTTGGTTTTGGGGTGTTTTTAAAATTAATATAAATTCTTAATGTTGATGACGTGCTATATATCATTCTTTTATGGTTAGTCCTTCATATGTCCTGGTTTAAAAAAAAAAAATCTTACGATAGTTCAGGCTGTATGTCAACTTGGCAAGACCATGCTTCTCGGTAGTTTGGCAGGTGTGTGGTTGGCAGATGACAACACAGGGGATGATGGTATCATTTGTAATCGGATGTAGTTACAGCCAGTGTGATCCCTGTTAAGACTGCAGTCTTTATTAGAAACATTACCACATCACTTTCCTGCTGAGAGGCTAGCAGCTGACATGGTGTCACCAATGTTTCTTTACCCTGGTAATAGGGTCTTAAACTATTCTCTAAAGAATAGTAGCCAAACCCACAGTGGCAGAAATCTTCTTGGGACACATTGAGAAGTGCAGTGTCTACAGCAATGTTATCGCTAAGTTATTCTGCAGGTCAGCAGTCAGAGGTATAGTAATTTCTTTTAAACTGAAGTGTTACAGCAACATGTTATGATTGACCCAAGAAATACCAGCTTCAGTCAAAAGTCTTGGAATACACCACAAATGTGATCAGTTTGTTCCTAACTACAATTTGTAACTCAACCAGTGCAAGGTGGTTGCACGGTGGTTAAGCGCTCAGCTGCCAAACTTCCAGTGGCTTCCCAGGAGAGAGATGGCAGCCTGCTTCTGTAAAGATTATCATCGCCTTGGAAACCACATGGGGCAGACCTGCTCTGTCCTGTAGGTCAGTGTTGACTCAACAGCAACGGGTTTGATTCTGGTAGTGGATTATACTCCTGGTTCTTTTTAAGTTACGGAGAACGTGGAATTCTGTTATACTAAGTCTCCAAGTCATAAGTAAAGTATTTGAAGTAGAGATTGGAAAATGAAACAGTTGTTGAAATTCCTATTGTAGTGGTTACGTGTTGCGCAGCTAACCACGAGGTCCATAGTTCAAAACCACCAGGTGCTCCTCAGGAGAAAGATGGGGCTTTTTTCTAGTCTCTTAAAGAGTATTTTCTCGGAAACCCACAGGGATAGTTCTGTCCTGTCCTACAGGCTCACTCACTATGAATCAGTATTGACTCAAAGGCAGTGAGTTTGGTTTGATGGTTTTGTTGAAATTCTTTAGTTTTTGAATTTTGAGTAATTTATTTTAAAAATCCGGTCTTTGCTAAGCAGAAAATAAACTAAGCTTGTTGTCAACAACTTCCAGGTAGTATACTGCCACTCCTGTCTGTCATTTGCTGCCCCATGTTGACTTGTGTATTGCTGTGATGCCAAAAGCTGTGGTACTAGTATTTCTGATACCAGCAGGATCACCCATGGTGAACAGGTTTCAGTGGAACTTCCAGACTGAAACAGATTAGGAAGAAAGAAAGGCTTTGTCCTTCCGAAAATTAGCCAGTGAAAACCCCTTAACAAAAGAATATTATATTGTCCGACTCATTTGCTGTGACACAACACTGCTAGAAGAGGACATCACACTTAGTGTAGTTGGGGCCAGGAAGCCGAGGGAGGGAGCGGTGAGATGGATTGTACCACTAGCCTTCGCGATGGACTCAGAGAGGCAAGGCAATAATTCCTTTCCAGTGTGTAAGGTCACTATGAGCCAGCGTCAGCCCAAAGAGAGCTAAGAACAGCATCACTTCTGGGCAGTATTATGCTGCAGTGTTATTCATTGCTATGAAATGTGCTAAAAATTACATACTGAGCAGTAGTGTTTAAATCGTCTATACTAGAGAGAGAAATTGAGGTGGTGGCGTTAGGAGCTGCTCACATGGAGTTGATTCGTGTCACTTGGCGCTTAAGCCAAGTCTTGCAATGCGTGAGCTCATTGAGGCAGCATGGGGGAAGAATGGTGTATAAGTGGGCCCACCCACTCTTGTTCAGGTTCAACTCTAAATGCAATGTAAGTATTTGACTACACGGATGATTGGCACCCCTAACCCCAGCATTGTTCACAGGTCAACTGTATTTTTTTCCTTAATTCTTAAATTTAAGTTAATGCCTAAAAATGCATTAACATTTAAACTCGTGACCTATGGAGGGGACTAGGAGATTATTATATTCTATTTAAAATTACAATTTTGGGAAAAAGTATTTATTAAGCCTAAAGCATGATTCAAGCAAATTATATGGGATACTCTGGACCCACAATTATGTGGGTACCAGATCTAGTAAAGCACATTATATGAGGAAAAAAAACCAATAAGAATTGCTTTCATAGACATTTGGATTCATTCATTCTTAATATTTTAGAGTGAGAAGACCTTGCTGTTTATTATAATTCTTTAAGTTGTGCATTTTCATCCCTGCTTTGTGGAGGCTATAATTGAGTTTTAAAGAATTTTGAGCGACTTTAGCTAGCAGAGGAGTGAATCTTTAAAAGATGACAGCATAGTTGAATTTGGATGACGTAATAAATGTGGGTGAACAGCCACATTTGAAATATGAAGATAATTCTCAATTTTTGCACTATATAGTTTGAATACTTTCTTATTGGTTTTTTTACAGAGATTGATAGCTTTATAAATTTTGGTTATATCTACTATCAATCATACAGAATTCTCTAGTTGATCAAATAAACAACAATTTTTATTTAAATTGCATTCTCATAACAAACATGAATTTTTGAAAGCCTTGTTCAATCTTTACATGATTCTCTTATGCCAAGAGTGCATTTATAGTTAGATATCCATGTAATTTTATAGAAGACATTAACTCTAGGGGAAAAAAAGGAACGTTGACTCAGACCTTCTATAGCAATAGCAGGAAGATCTAATTGTGCAGAGCTGACATAAAGGATTCCGAGGGTGCTTCAAAAAAGTTGGTGGGAAAGTGGAGTTAAAAGATAATGGAATTTTCTCATGAACTTTTTGCAGCCTCATAATTTCCACTGCCGTCTTTGTAAATTCTGTGTAGTCTTTTAAAGTAGCCTTACTTGCATATGATTTCTGCTAGCATGACCAGCTTAGTGCTAATGATATTAGAGTGTTTTTTTTTCCACTGTGACTTTCTTACACTGAAAGATGGCCTTATTTTCTCTCTCTAGAAACATGATTGAGAATTGAGATAGTGTAATGTTTTATTATGCTCAAAATGAACATAGCAAAAAGTTGGTGCTTCTGTATTTTAAGATATTTTTTGTTAGCTTTGATATCCAGCCCTCTCCCTTTCCCACTTAAAAATGTGTATGTCTTGGAGTACAGAAGAAGTAAAAAGCCAAATAAAGTGTTCTTTTTAGTAGGATTATGAATAAAAATGTGAAATTCTTTACAAATGTTAATATTGATGACTATACCAAGTTTTGAAGAATTGGCCATGGTTGCTTGTTTGTTTGTTTTTTCATTTATTTAATCCGTGTCAAAAGAGGCAGTCCACAGTTAGACCACCAATTCAAGTGAAGCGCTGTGCATGTTGGCATAGCATGTTCTTGCTGGTCCTGGCCCTCCCCTATCCTTTGTGCCTGCAGTTGAAGTGTTTGATACTCTTCTTGTGGACAGTTGGTTGTTTTAACATGTCACAAGATCCTAAGTAATGTGCTTCCTGTTCTCTAAATCTTTTTTCTTTCTCAGTTTTGGTGTTTATGAAAATCCAGTGGCTTCTTGTTTCACAACACTGTTTGAATTAGGTGTGAAAAGTACTTCTATTTGTATTTATGCAGAGCAGCTTTTGCTGGCTCTGCCTTACTTAGGAATGTAACAAGTATGCCGTATGCTGTGCCTCTGTTTCAGTGCACCCGTGTGATGTGGACGCCACCTCTCCGGGAAAGCTTCTCGTACCCGTTCCTTGTCCTGCAGATGTTGCTCGTGACTCATATTCTCAGGTAACTATGGCCGTTTCTTTCTGCATTAAATGACTTCAACAAGAATTTTCTGAGCTTCTATCATTGCATATATATATATCAATGCAATAAAACAATTAACTAGATGATCCTGTTGCTGGATTTCATTAGTAAGGATACCTCTAGTAGCAAAACCTAATTCTTTTCCTTCCTCCCGGCAGTCTGCAGTGACTGTCCAAGGAGCTGCCAGTCTGCGTCCATTCTTCTGCCCTCTCCACTTGCTCGAGTCTTTTTTTTGCCACTGCCACCCAAGACTGCACCCCCTGCCACTGCCATACTGAAACAGCAAGAAAACCCACACTCACTGCCATCGATTGACCCTATAGGACAGGGTAGAGCGGCCCCTGTGAGTTTCCGAAACTGTGATTGTTTACGGGAGAGAGTAGAAAGGGCTGTCTCTTACGGAGCTGGCTGGCGGGTTTGCAGTGATGACCGTGTGGAGTAGAATGTATTTGATAAGATGTAGCCCTCTAGAGCAAATAACACAATTCTATCCCATTTCCTCTTGATAAATACTGAGTTTAGACAGATCCTGCCTCGATCAGGAATGATCAAAACCAAACTAAATGGCGCTTATAAGAAGAAATAGAACTAAGTACAATAAAAACATAAAGGTGGCTCTGACTAAGAACTTCCTTTAGTGAGCTGCAAATTCAGAGGAACCTTGTGGAAATCTGTTAAACCAAACCATCTGGACAACCCAGCTTCCCTCTGTGATCAGTCCAGCCGGGGCAGAGTGACGCCATCACGTAACCCTTGTGTAGTGTCTTCAGACGCACCTATGACAGAAGGTGGCATTGGAGGCCTCTTTTCCCTTGGCTTTTGACAATCCTTGCAACGCTAACTTGATTGCTCTTCCTTAATTCTACTTTCCTTATTGGATTTTAAAGTGCCTTCCGAGAATGTGAACTATGAATGCATAAGCTCTCTCTGCTCTATTGGTTCTGGGATGCCTTTATTGAAGTCCGCCTGTCAGACCCTTGAAGAAGTTTTGCACTCTCTCACATAATGCCATCAATATACAGCCGTCTAGTTCTTCCGCTTCTTATACCTTTTCTCAATTCAGTGAATCCGTGAGAGGGACTCAACCCCTCTCATCATTAGCTTTGAAGATGCAAGGAAATCCTGAGCCAAGGATTGGAAATAGCCTCTAGTAATGGGCAAAGACAAGGAACTAAAACATCCTCACAACCATCCGGAGTATGTCCCTCAAGGGTGGAGTAAAGTAGTGCTCCACAGCTGAGCTGTCCCCACACAGTTACTCACATTAGGGGCTGACACTGAGAAGAACCACTGAATTTTAGGTGGGTTTCCAAGACGCTAATCATTATAGAACAGAGTGCCACATTTTTTTCTCAAATGATGATAGATGGGTGCTCTCTCTCCTTAGCAGCCAAGCGCGGATCCACTGTGCCACCAGGGCACTTGCAAAGCAATATTAAAAACACTGTTTTCAAGTCAATTCTGACTCATAGCAACCCTGTAAGACAAAGGAGAACTGCCCCTGAGGGTTTCCAAGACTGTAAATCTTTATAGGAGCAGGCAGTCTCATCTCTCTTCTGTGGAGGGGGCTGGTGGGTTTTAACTGCTAACCCAGTTCCTTAAGTGACTGCTCCTCCAAGACTTCTTAAAAGCAATATAAGACCCACTGCTATTGAATGCATTCCAGTTGTGGGCCACAGGAGAACTATGAGCGGGTTTTTAAGACTGAATCTTTTCTGGAGCAGAGATCCTCATTATTCTCCTGTGACGCCGCAGGTGGTGCGTTTGGACGGCTGACTTTGGTGAGCAGTTCGACTCACACCCACTGTGCGACGAGGGCTGTCTTAGAAGCAGTACAAAACCTGCTTTATTTTGGACAGTGGTTTTCGAACTTTCCCACTGACCTATAATAAGTTAATTTGCGAGGGTGACTCAGTAAACACACGTGTACCCACAAATGTGCAATTGAAACAACTGCTTATGGAATAGAAACTATTTAGGATGCAGTGATATATTTTCTATTTCAAAACACTTTGCTCCTTAATAGATAACTTGAAGATTCAGAATCCTTGATGCCAGCTCTGTGAAGATTTCAGGAATCTTAGGGGGATTTGCATTGGTTCATGGATTTAGGAGGAAAGTACTCTCTGGAGTTAGCATGGAAGATAAAATTACCTCGTTCTCCTTAAAATGCCCTAAGTACAAGTCAGGACTAAGTAGATGTACTAAAGAAAGGCTTGTCCTTGCTTCCCTTTTACTCTTTTATGCCCTACCTCTTCCACAGCCAACTTTAATCGCACACCCTCCAGAGTCGGCCTCACTGCCCAGCCCTTAATTTGAATGCTTGCATTGCTTGTCTGCCTGGCCGATCGGTTTGAACTGGTGACCTTGTGATTAGCAGCCCACCAGGCCTCCTTATATAATATTCAGTACTTATAATCTGCCATTTTTTATGATTTTTATAAGCACAGTTTGTTTCACCCACAATTGTAAATCCTTTGGCTGCAACATGCAAAAATGTTAGAGTATGAATTTACCAAAAGAGAGTTTGAAAGAAATCCAGTGCATTTCCTGGCCTGGCTGGCTTCCTTCTCCCTGAAGGCTTTGTGTTGGTGTAGTGGTAATGATAGGTATTCATCTGTCATAGAGGATGGTTGTAACTGAGTGTCAAGGGGTATATGTTCTACCCCATTGGTTCTTTTTATGAGCACCTTATGTTGTTACCAGATCATGTTTTGAGATCCTGATTTGCAGCCGTTGTAAACTATGTGGTTAAACTTACTAATATTTATTTTATCTTTTCAAGGGCTACGAAACTTTATAGAGTAAGCTTGATTGCGCTCTGTGTTTCCAATGTATTTTTCATACTTCCTTGGCAATTTGCTCAGTTTGTACTTCTTACTCAGGTAATTTGATTCTATATTTTTAAAACTGATTTGGTTATGTGAACTCATTTGTATAAACTTATGGAACTGAGGGGCAGTATGACTCTTAAGTTGTAAAATGTTTTCTGTTAATACTTTTAGGGAACATTCAGCGGCAGGAAATGTATAAGATTTATTTATTAATAAGTATACTTACTAGCAGAACACATTTATTGAATTCAAATTTGTAAAAATGCTTATCTCTGTTATTCAGAATTTGTTAGTGTGCTCAAGAGAGAACTAGTACTAAAAATGTAAGTGCTTCTCTTAAATATACTGTAGATAACAGGATAGAAAGCTGTAAGTGCTTCTCTTAAATATACTGTAGATAACAGGATAGAAAACTGTGTTTTTTATATAACTCCAATCTATTTTTTTCTCTCTCTTCTATGTCTGTTTTTGACACCTTTCAAATAAGAATGTACAAGGGAGCTGCAAAAAGTTGGTGGAAAAATGGAATTAGATCATGGAATTTTTCCATGAACTTTTTTGAAGCCGTTTAATGATAAGGCAGGTAGCTGTTGAAAGAGAGTAAATGGAGGAGGTATCATCCCACCCCAGCCCTCTTGCTCACTGCTTTTCTCTGATGCTGATCATAGTCATGTAACTCGATCTGAGCTGCTACTGAATATTATTTGAAATGACTTTCTTGGGCTGTTGAATCAGATCTAAAATTGAGTCCTAACTCTTATTCACTGGCTTCTTGACCTGTACAAAATACCTTTCCATAGCTTCAGTTTTCTTGTTTAGGACATTGAAAAAAAAAAAAAAAAGGCAAAAACGCAATGAACTCATCTGGCCTATGCCGACTCATAGTGACCCTGTAGGACAGGGTAGAAGTGACTCTGAATTTCCCGGACTGTGACTGTGTCCGGGAGCAAAAAGCCGCACGTCTTTCTCAGCAGGAGCAGCTGGGGTCTTTCAACTGACAGCCCTGTGGATTGCAGCCCATTGTGAAACCCCTCCGCTCTCAGGGCTCCTTCATTCCGGGCACAGCGAAGCAAAGAATGGCTTTACGGGGTTATGGTTAGGATTAGGTGTGGTAATGTATAGAAGTTTCTTAACATGGTGTCTAGTAGCAAGATGTCTGTAAGGTTAACTGCTTTTATTACTGTTTGTTAATTTTACAAATGGACTCCATTTAGTTACCTCTAGCCATAGCTACCAGGTGCTCCTTGGGAGAAGGTGGGAGCATTCTACTCCCGTTAAACAGTTAGTCTTAGAAACTCAGAGGGGCAGTTCTACGCTGTCTTAGAAGGTTGCTCTCCGTTGGCATGCACTCCATGGCAATGAGCTGTTGTAGTTGGGGTTAAATTGCATAATGGGAACATCCACTTCCTCTGTATTGCTGCGTGATTTCTGTCACTGCTGGCAATGCAGTGCTCTTCCCCTCGGTAACCATGGATAAAGGAGGGTATTGTTTTCCTTAGTAATGGAAATGTTTGTTGTATATTGCTTGGGGATAAAATTTGATGAATGGAACTTTAGTCGTATGTTGAAGTATTCAACTCTTTTGCAGTTTGCTTAAAGTATGGTGTTGTAAGAGAGATGGGGACTTTAGTTAGAATTTCTTTGTTCTTGGAAAAGAACAGAGAGCTAATGTTTAGCACATCGCTTTCTATTTTACCCAAAGTGGTACATTGCTATAGTTTTATCACTTTATTCACCTTACTCTAATATTATTAGAATTCTTGCTAAATACATAGTACATTTTTTTCAATCCTGAAGTTAAAAAATAATATCATTGTAGTGAAAGGGCTTCTCCTAATTTGAGGTTTGATGAATTTGATTATAATCAGTGCTTGAACATCTGTATTAATGAATGAGAGTAGGATATTCTTACAAAGAGTGCTTAACAAGATGAAATTAATGTATTTTAAGTCACATAGACATTACATAATTATTTGGGGGTTAATTATACCCTCCTAATTTTGCATTAATTGTTATAATTAAGTTTGGGGTTTTTGGATGGGCACAACATTGTGGTTTCAACCCAGATTTAAAATGGACTGTTATTTTAGATGGTTCACAAAGGAGAAAAGTTCACATAGGTAATTGAGAGAAAAATCAACTAATTTTTTTATGTTGATAGATCATCCCTACTAGTAAAGTGGCAAATGAAATGAAAGCTGCTCACTGTCTATATAATAAAAAATCAATTTGACCCAACACTTAAGATAATATAATTCTTCATTGTTTAGCTACCGGTTTTATATGTAATTTTTATTTTTAACTTCATTTCTTTTTAAATTTCAGATTGCATCGTTGTTTGCAGTATATGTTGTGGGGTACATTGATATATGCAAATTACGGAAGATTATTTATATACACATGGTAATGATCTTTTACTTTTTGTTTTAGATGTGGTAATGTGTTTAAGACACTTAACATGGTATCTGGTATTTAGCAAGATGGTAGCAAGGTTAGCTCCCTTTACTTTTATTTTATGATGTAAGACTCATAATTAATATGTGATACATAGGTGAAACTGATTGTAACATGGTTTTATAACTCAAACAAGTTTTATTCACAAATGGAGATAGTCAACAGACCCTATATTAAATAGGCCACCCAGATAGTTTTAATCTTGGTCCTATTATTAAATTTGCAATTGTGAATTGAATGTACATTATCAGTAAAAGAGATAGAGAGAAAAATAGAATGGCTATTATCCTGGAGGCTTCTATTAAAATGAAGTGGAATGTTCTGTCACTGAGCTCTGGCTTTCTAGAGAAGTGGGCTATATCAGTGAGGAGAGCTACAAAAATCCTAGAGTTTATATTCCAGAGGAGGAGGGAGGGAAGACAAAGGATGAAGAACAATAAACATAGGGAAGGGCAAGTTCTATGGTATGCTAGATGATAAGAAGAACCATGGAGAGCTGGGGGGCGGGGGTAGGGTGGGTGGAAATGAATCATGTAAGACAGATCAGAGTCTAAATCCACTAAGTCTAGGGGCCACTAAGGTCAAAATGCTTTAGAGGCTGGGAGATAAAAGGCATTAGAGGAGGAGGTCAGATCAGTTCTTCTGAAATGCAAAGGAGGGCATTGAAGCAGAGTTAGTTGAAAGGAGAAAAAGTAGCCAAGCAGCTGTCTTGGAAAAGAATACCTTGAGTTGATGGGACCACTTTGGTTGATGTTGATGAACCAAGTCAGCATCCTTTAATACAGTGATTCTCAATCTTCCTGATGCCGTGACCCTTTCATACAGTTCCTCATGTCGTGGCGACCCCCCAACCATAAAATTATTTTTGTTGCTACTTCACAACTATAATTTTGCTACTGTTATGAAACGGGTGACCCCTGTGAAAGGGTCCTTCGACCCTCACAGGGGTCGTGACCCATAGGTTGAGAACTGCTGCTGTAATACATTTGCCTTCTCATCACTGGGTTTTACAATTTGTATATTTTTTTTCTATGATTTTTATAATATACCATTGTTTCATTGTGTAATAATTGTTACATATAAAAGGACATTTACAATATATAGGAAAATTATGAACAAGGTTGAAAAAAGAAAATCATGAACCCAACCTCCAGCTGAAAACTAGAACCTTATTCTTTTGAAATCCTGTGTTCCGCAAACACACCTCTCTCATTTCGAGAAGTAACACTGTCCTGATTATTTTTTGTCACAATGAATTTGCTTTTACTTATAACTTTACTATATATGTCTCTGAGATAATACATATTTTTAGTATTAAATATTGGTATTGTCTTTAAGCTTTGTGAAGGGTATCATTTGTGTGACTTCTGCTCTCACTCAGGCTTCTGAGATTTGTATGTTGATGGGGTTGAGGCAATCTTGCTGTGTTTCTATTTTCCACTGTATGAATGCAACACAATTTATACATTTCTCATCGAAGGACATTTAGGTTATTTCCTTTTTTGTCTGTTATGAATGATGTTGTATATGCTTACAGTTATCTCCTGAGGCACATATATTAAGAGTTTCTTGAGAGTGTTTATCTAGTAGTCGAATTGCTGGGTGAAAAATAATGTACACGTCCAACTTCATAATTTAATACCAGATTGTTTTTCTAAAATGATCGGACCACTTCAAATAGCACTGTGTATTAGTTCACATTATTCTACAACATTTTTCATGTTTTTCCCGTCTGGTCAGTGTGGAGTTGCAGCAAATGCCATGGGGGGTCATAGCTGACCTCCTCTAGCTCCCTTACTGCCAGAAGGCAAGGATCAGACAGGCCTTCCCCTCCATCCTTCTTAGCCCTGCTCTGACACCGACTATTCTTTCTACCATGTTCTGCCTCTATGCTGGCCTTGATCATTCATTGCAGTGGCTACACAGAACTAAATAGACAGTACTCACAATTAAGGGAGTTAACAGGTTACCACAAGCCGGGATCAGTAAAAAGATGGATACAGTCCACAGCAACACCTCTGTTCAGCCTGTAGCCTCATCTCTGATCCTGAGCCTTTCAGCCATGTGGTCCTTTGGCCTTGGCCTCTGTGGACCAAGAAGCCCACCTGTCGTTCTATCTTACAGTCCCATAGTCTCGTGCCAAACGACGAGAAAGTACCTCATAGTCTTAGCACTGTTTCTCCGAGTCTGCTGCCTCTAGTCTCAGCCTCCACCACAGAGATCTTGCACGTTGCTCTTCCAGGGGTCCTGGGATCCCTCTCTGTGTCTGATATGGCCCTATACACAGAGGACTGGTGTTGAGGTTTGGCTTTGGGCCTTCAGCAGACCATATCCCCAAGGAAACAAAAGGGAGTGACTTGGTTCATACCCTCAACTAAGTTAGAGACTTGATCTCTCTCTCACCTTCATTCTGTCCCCATTATCATAGCAGAAAACTCCCTCCAAAATGGGATTATAACCATAGGCATAGCGTCCAGAATATAAAACATCACATAAGGGATTATGGCCAGAAGGACCATGTTGATTGACTACATCTCAGATTTGCTAGCTTGTGATCTTAACTTGCATGTCTCTTTTTCTCAATAAGAGAGAAAGATGAGTCTTTTTATTTCCATAAAGATTTGCCACTTGGAAACTCATAGGGAAGTCTTACAGGGCTGCTGTGAGTCAGAATCAAGCAGATGTCAGTGAGTGTGGTTTTGTATTTTGGTAATTCTAAATAAAGCTGAGCATCTTTTGATATATTTGTGGGCCCTGTGACTCCTTTTTCTGTGGCATGCTTATGCACAATTTTTACATATTTTACTCTGTCTTGTTTAAACTGATTTTTAATGTGTTACATATTTTAGAAATGGTTTTGTCAATTACGTATTATAAATATCCCAATGTTGACTTGCTTTTCACTTTCTTTTAATGAAAAGGCACTAATGTGAATGTAGGAAACCTTATAAACCTCATCCCATGTGGTACATTTCAGTCCTATTAAGAATCCACAAAGATATTCTCTATGATGTTCTCCTAAAATATAAAAGGGTTAATTTTTAAATAAAATTTTTACAGTGCTTTAAGTTGTGTTGACTTGGGGTTTGTTTTTTTTT